TGCGGGTGTTACATAACACCCTGTATATATAATATTTGACTTCACTTCCCGTTCTCCTTGTCCCTTTGTCCATGTCAATTGACGAAACTCATGGGAAAGCTGTATGCAGTGACAAATGTGTTTTTGCAGATCCTGGAATGCACTTTGTACGCACCTGTAAGATTCAAACGTTATATGTCAGCTTCCGCGATTTGCAGTGGCAGGTGAGCCATTAATCAGCATGTCTTAAGAGCCTCTGGTTCCCTCACGGCAGTAGTGTCGGATTACAGTGTCACAGGCGAGAGGAATCGTATGTTTTCTGCGAATCCGACGTGCACGCGGTGAGGGACCAGGCGCCTTGGACCGTACGTGCGTCTTACGTTTCTTACCATTTATTTCGTTGCACAGGATTGGATTATTGCGCCGGATGGCTATGACGCATATTACTGCAGCGGAGAATGCAATTTTCCCCTGAATGCTCATATGAATGCAACCAACCACGCAATAGTTCAGACGTTAGTGCATTTGGTGAGCCCGGGCAAAGTACCCAAGCCATGCTGCGCGCCCACCAAACTTTCGGCCATCTCGGTTTTGTATTTCCTCGATGAAAGCAACGTCATTTTGAAGAAATATAAAAATATGGTCGTCAAGAGTTGCGGCTGTCATTAGAATGTGTTTTTCGCTCATAGGACTATTTTCCAGCGGGAACGGAAGAACAGCATTCTTTGATGCAAAAGCTAGCTGAACCGGACGGATCATTTAGCTATTGAGTAAATGTTTTCTCATTATATTCGGATTCGATCTTTGGGACCCTCCAAATCTTAAGGTTACGATGATTTTGAAAGTTAGTACAAGTGCGAACGTGACATGCAAGGAAACATGTGGCCTTCTGCTCTAAGAAGAAAATACCCGAGAAAATGGAAAAATCTCATTATAAAGGTGTACCAAATCTAACGTGACACTTGTTATTGGCAGATTCTTGAGATCATTTTGAGACAAAAATTCTAATACCAAAATGTCAAGGTTATAATCGTTTTTAAATGGGAACTGTTCAAAGTCGACAAATCAATTTGTCCGAAATTCGCGCGCGAATTTCTCATTTAAAAACTATTATAGTCTCAACGTTTTAGAAGTAGGATTTTTGTCTCTAAATGGTGTCAAGAATCTGCCAATAACAAGTGTCACGTCAGATCTGGTACATATGTCTCAATATGTATAATATCTAATTATATATTACATGATTGAGACGTATATAATAAGATATTTCCATGTTTTCCCGGACAATTACGAGTATGTGAGAAAATACTCATACTTGATGACAATGTTATAGAAAAATGTTAGTTTTGTGTGCTAGGATTATGATATTATTATATTTACATAAATCAATGTGCCTGAGTAGATTATTTTTTAATCATTATACAGGGTTTCTCATAATTTGCGGGTCACCTCTCATGGACAGGTAGACTCGAAAAGTCCTATGCTATTTTACGACTATTGCAGGAATTAATGAGTTCCGCAAATAATTAAAGTAATTGCAATAATTAATAAAAGATCCGTACTCAGCGTGTATCGGCGCGACTCGACGAGAAGAGGTAGTGTTGCTTGCATCTACCACAAGTAGTGCGTATCACTGACAATGAGTCGTCTCTTACCGAATCGCCCGAATTCGCAAGCTCGCCATAGGTCTTTATTATTAATTAATTTCTCATTAATTTTTTAGTAACTCGTAAAACGGTAGAGAACTTCTCTATTCAGTTTAACCCTCTCTATAGACACCCTGTATACACAATGTCCCATTAAGATTGTAACGACATTAGGTACTATATAATTTCAGAAATCTGACCTTTAAGTGTCGTTACGATCTGTATAGATCATACTCTGTGTGTGTGTAATTCTATTTCTTATAATATAAAGAATTAGTCGTAAGAGTTTTAGTGCATAGATAAATGACTGAATCAGTCAGATAAATTTTAGAATAATTAAGACACGCGAGACAGCGGTTTAGATAATAAAACATTTTGATTCCCGAGTTTTTAAGATAAGTTTGAACTATTATCATCGTATCGATGATACGCGCCACTCTATAGTTTATTTTTATCGCAGATACAATCGAATGCTCGTATTATTCGAAGTCATTAGAAAAATAATGTTTGAACAGTATTTTAAGGAGTCCTCTGTCACCAATTATTTTAGCAATAAAAATATCAATGTATGCTTTTTCTCCCGCTTCCTTTGTAATTTTGACGTTGTTACATTGCAAACGTGAACGCTGAGGGAACAGCGCAAGAGGAAAACTTCGCTCAACGAGCAGTCGGCTAATTCACGACACAATAGATTATTTCAGTATATGTCAAGCGTAATTATCAGTTTACGCATGTCAAACTTCGCAGGTGCAAAAATAATACAAAAGGAAGCTGTTTCTGTAAAAAGATTTCGCAGGTAAATCGACTTAAACCTTGACAAAGAAGCAGTACTTTCTTGGTGGTACCAACGATTACCAAATAGTTTTTGTATTTATAGCGTAAGCTGTGAGCGTAGGTGTATTCAAGTGGCGTAAGTTATTAATGACGAAGCTCGTTAGCGCGTATTAGTCACATAAACATGTATAAAAGCATACAATTACTATATACTCATGTTAATTCCTAAGTTTTTGTACATCGTCATTGTACATACACTCTTGTATATACCTCCTATATTTCTGTACTTCATATTTGTACGTATAAATAAATTTTAGCAGTGCAGGGTCCATCAGCAAAGAAATTTGTAATTTTCTCACGTAGTCCTTTAATGAAATCAGACTAAAGTTTAAGATATAACGCATTGTTGATTTGAAAAAATGTCTTTTTCGAGATACAAGAACAATTAAGGGTAATCGTTTTCTGCAGTTTGTAATTAAAAAAGATTTGGTGGAGTCTTACTATCATATGCAAGTCGCAAGGTTAACGCAGTAGATCCTATTATTAATCAAATTTACAAATACTTCTTAACCATAATCGACACAACAATTTTCTTTTAAGAGTTGCAAGTCTTGACGCTGCTCAATTTTGAAGGTAATACAATTTCTCCAACATGTTACATATCGTAGCTATGTCCAATATAATATAATATGCTAAAATATACTAAAATAATTTTTTTTTGCAATAACCGCAAATTTCTCAAAGTTGTAAAATAAATTTAGTACGTATCGTATTACGTACAGAAAAATTATGAGAAATGATTATCTTAGTTTTTGTAAATATTGTCGTTGAATACTGTAATACGCATACATTATGTAATATGCTATACATAATAAAATAGCACCCAGTACAAAAAATAGTACAGGTTCTTTGGGCATTTTATTAAAATTCTTTATGATAGGTACTTTTTATGCCCTTATTGATAGAGTGTCAAATTTAAAGCTATAGCTGTAATGTATAAAAACGTAACAAAATTTTTCTCTTTCTCATATCACTTACAATAGTATAAAAAATGTGTGATACTTACATTAAAGTAATACGATTAGTCATTTTGTAAATCTCACTAATTATTAATAATGCTAACATCACATATGTAGAAGATTCTAGTTTTGAGAGGCAATATGCAATTTATAAGTATATTTCCTTTAGAAGAAATATACTTTATATAAAAATATGTATAATATAGAAGCTTCTACATAATAATATAGTATAAAATTTATGAACGAATGAATTAAAAAAAGTGCATTTCGACATTTAAAAATTGATAATGTCTTCGTCTAAATCTAAAATAAGTACTAAATCGTGGCGAGCGTAGCACAGATGTGCGCTGCTTAGTAAATGACAGGAACCAAGTTGAAATCAACCAAGAACCTGGTTATTATACAAACATGATTTCTCGGAGGGAAGCAGCCACTGAGAGTTCTGCCACACATGTTCCTTTAGAAACGGAGGAAAAATCTAAAAAATACATATAAAATTATTACAATACTTGTGAGATAAAACCTAAGTACGAGCTAGTTATAATTTATCACAAACACGACTGACTACTATTTCTTATTTGTAATATTTACATCACAGCAGATCATTTCAATGACTTTGTTGACTGTTATCTTCGCGGAGCAACATAATTTGTATGTGACTATTTCCCTCTTGCAGATCTACGAATCTAAAAGAGGAAAATATTTTCTTGAAATTTATTTCGCGTCCTGGCGGCATCACACGTCGGCAATTGTTGCAGAATGGACACTGACTGTCCAGATCTGACAATTGTTGAAGCAAACAAAATTCTCAGGAATCCCAAATATATTTACAACAATGTATATATATATAAATATTAAAAGATTTCAGTTTCCTGTAATAAGTTTAAAAATATTGATAAAATAAAATAAAATAAAGTCAAAGAAAAGATGCTTGAACAAATGTCCGAACATTTTCAAAACTTACTTCTTACATTGCTGAACTTTTGAAAAGAGATATAGTATTTATACATTTATCTTTATATTAACCTATTCTTCTCCTGTTGCTGCACGAACAGTCTATCGTTTTTCCCTAGACTTATAATTACACTCGTAAAACATGACGCTGCTTCACTAGAAGAATTGGTTGTACATATAATGAGTTTTTCTTTTCTCAACGAACTTTTACGTTGTAACAATAACCAATAAGAATTTGCCTGTCGTCCACATACTTTATCTTTATGTATTGCTCCATAATAAATCTGTAACGAGAATATATTTTATTCGTAACAAGTGGAAAATACTTCGCTTTGACTGATATTATTTATACAGGTCCACTAAATTATAATAATATACCGGAAATAGTGCCGGCAGATCGAATAATCAGCCGATGAAGGAAGAGAGCTTTTACATGATTTTATATGTCTCTTTCTACAATTCTACGGGGAAAAATTATTTAATTCTGCTCAGATCTTTTTTAAATTTATGGATTTTTGTTCCACAGTTATAATACTACGTATAACTGATAAGCATAGACTTATATAAGTAGACTGCCTGTTCATATGCAATGTAGAACGATAGATATACAATACGTAATCAGATACTTTCTCACAATATACTGAATAAGGATAATGTAAGACAAACTGGAGAATAAGAGAGTAAAAGGGGATCTCTTTACAAGCAAAACATCCTACTTCTCCTCTTTCCATCTTCCTAACTGCACAATCCGATAGGAATAACATCTTACTCAGTATTGCCCTCTTTTATGCTGTCTTTATACTTTCAACGGGAGTTTACCCATAGAAATGCATGAAATATTTACTATGTGCGCACAGTTGAGAACAAAAAGAGATACGTCGTGTCCTTCAGTGTCTCCTCCATAAACTCTAATGTACGGGGATATATGCTCTTCCCAATATTATAGTACAGCAGTCGGGGTCTTTACCTGTACAGAGATCTGATATAAGCCATCTATGCCAACTTCGATCGACATACCATTCTCCACCAACTGATACTTTTGGAATTTAGACGTGTGCTTTTCATGTTTTTTGCTTGCAACCCAAGGCCCGATATAACCTAAATAAAAAAAATAATTGTTTACCTTCAATCAAGGTGCAATGCAACACGAATATCTTGTTTTATGCATATGTCAAGTGGAACAGAATTCTGTTGTTCATATGCAAGCTCGAAAAGCAGAATAATGAGATTATGTTATCCTTATAATTACCTCAAAATGCCAATAGAAACGTAAAAGACGTAAGAGGCAAAATTTGTTAGTGGAATATAATCTTAGACTGATGTGAGCCATTTAAATAATTCTAAACATGCCGTGTTTCGATGGTTACAAAACAATAGATTTTGCTCAGTTTCTGCTGGCAAGCTGCCGTCAGAATAGATGAGCAAATCGCTGGTAGAACACGAGCTTAATGCAGGTGATTGATACCGATTTGTCGTGATATTCCCTTCGAATCTGTTATGATACTACATTTTGCCTACTGGATAAATACCTGAGGCTTCAAGACTTTGTTGTAGTACTGCACCAACGAACGTAACTACTAATGGCCCTGTAAGATATATTAGTTATTTTTCGAATCCAGTTCGTTTCAGACAAATTGCGCTAACAGGTCACGTAATTATGTTGATGAAAATCGATTAGCATAAGGGGAATCCACAATTCAGTTCATTCACGAATAGAAAATATTAAAATTAATACTGATAAAGAAACTGCATTTGATTATCTGCGATCTTGTTCTTTGTTCTTACATTGTCTCTTCCGTTGCCGTTGTCCACCTTTTTTCTTGTTCTGATTCTGGGATTTATTTTTTCTTTCGTTTCGTTGCTTTTTACCTCTCCTCTTGTTCCGTTCATATGTTTCCTCGTCTTCTTTGCTCTGTCGCTGTTTTCCATCCCTCTTCCTCCTTCGATCTTTGCTCAATTCTCTTCGCACTCTTCTCGCACGCAGTTCACTCTTTATCTTGAATTCGTAATCGTTGCTTACGTTACTTTCCGTCGTCAGAGAATAATTTAGCAAAGATGTAAACTGACCAAAAGAATCAATATTGTTTTCTAATTGCCAGGATTCATTTGACGTTTTAACATCATTACTTTGATTGCTTGTACTCATGAGGAAATATGAAAGTATCTGAAATATGAAAGATAAAAATATGAATATTGAATGTTCACGCTTTCCGAAGGAGGGATCATATCTTTTAAAAGAATAATGAAAATAAATTTAAATCATATACAGCGCAAAAATTTAATCTATGAAAAATAATGTTGTTAATAGAATCTTAATAGTGGAAAAGCGTATAACTTCTATAATACCATAAATGAATCGTTAACGCTCGATTGCCGTATTTAGTTGGTCCTGATATTGGCTACACTATCGAAATTTTTGTGAGATTGTATAAACATTAAATAAACACTACTCAAATTTGGTGAGATTGTATAAATGTTAAATAAATAAAGAGGAAACCTCTAAAATAAATACAAAACTTGTAGTGAGATGTAAACATGATAAAGTAAAAGGTATGTCGTATTACTCCATAGTGAGAAAGATCCCAGATAACATGCTTGTCTAAAAGACATCTTCAAGACTTCTTTAACACGTCTTTTAGACATCTTTTAGACGTGTATGTTTAAAAGATGTCTAAAAGGTGTTAAAGACGTCTTGAAGATGTCTTTTAGACATGCATGTTATCTGGGATAGTCTTATTTGACTTGATATTTTATCATTATGTGCTTATGATAATGAAAATTTATTATACTAGTTGGAAAACTGTCTCAAAAATGCTGGGAAAATCCAAATCTTTCCTATCCAAATCTTTTCTAGTATTTAAAAGTGGGTCCTATTTTATTAAGTGGGCCTGAATAGCTCAGTTGGAAGAGCATTCACCCGTCAAGCGAAAGATTCCAGGTTCGAGCCTAGTTTAATCCTAAAGCCAACGGTACACAATACTATTTTTCATACTGAATTGCTTACGAGAGCCAACCAGGATGCAGAGTTTTAGATCGGGTGACTTAGGGCTAAATCTTGATTGGCTCTCGTAAACAAACCAGTAGGAAAAATAGTAACGTGTGCCGTTGGCATAACCCGTTATTTTTCTCGCAGAAAATTATTAAGTGGCATGTCTTATTGTTAGTGCCAAACTCCCCGAAGATACTCAGCTATTTATTACTCTAATGGTTTGAAAAATAAAAGTACCCTAAACTTCTTCACAGATTCTATACTTTTCTTTAAAAATTATAAAACCTGTATCAAATTACGGATTGAGATGAGATTAGATTGAAATTTTACCAATCAGACCATAAAGCTTATTAATCTAAAGCTTAGTGATTTTTACTCTGATTGGTCAAATTTCAATCCGTAGTCTGATTAAGAGAATAAATATCTTAAAATATTTAATATTTAGACATCCCATTTGGGGATGTTTCTGTATATAAACTATTTTAATATAGTTATTCTCTTATAATTTTCGAAGAAAAGTATAAAATCTGCGAAGAAGTGTAGGGTAATTTTATAAATCTTTATCAATTTGAAATATGAAAAATTCTTCAAAATATTTAAAATTTGAGAATGTCTCTCATCAAGAAAACCGCTGTTAAAAATATAGACGCACTTTCGTAAGAAAAAGATGAAAATTAAAGATCATAAGCAAAGTATGACGTCTTAATTACTTTTTACGTTCTTAATTTGTTATCTGATACATGATTACGTTAACGCGATCGCTAAGTAGAGTAGGCTGCAAAAAATTCGTACACGTAATATTCGTCGTATGCACATTTCGCACGATAAAAGGAGCGGATGATTAATTCTCACAGTATGTTACATTATCACAGCATTGTGCTTATTCAGAATCGTTAGGTTTCAGACGCGTTCCACTTACGTAGAAAACATGTAGGTGACACAGAGGCCTTATAGAGACAAAGAGATGAAAGATCGACAATTTTTGAAAGGCGAGGAACATCAGGTAGCGTTTCTTGTTACTGAAATCAATGTATCTCACCTGTTCTTGTAACTGTATCGTTTGTAGAAATGTCATCCTCAATGCTAGGGAGAGCATTAAAAAGAATGATATGCTAACAATCATGAAAGAAAATTGTGACAATTTAAATCTCCTACGTTTTTGTACATTGAATTTCGTGTTAAGACATGGATCATTCCTTTCTTCATTTTGCAATGACGAAGACATGTTTATCTGCATCATCTTTCCCTCAGTTGTCTAATCCCTTTTAATCGCGACAAAAGCTTCTTATCAATTATTCCGAGATTACATTAAGACGGGTCTGAAATATATTTAAACACAACAGTTATGCTAGCAATTAGTCAACGACTAATATCTTGTTAATAAAATTCTAACTTCTTCCGTGTGTAACAAAACTTTGGTAAGAAATGATATAAATTATGGCACAGTAGATTATAATGTAACTATAACATAACTATTTTTAATATTTTCAACGTTAATAATGCAATGCGGTTAAGCATCCAAGTTCATAAAAAATGGATTTTGCGAATCGATAAATTTTGTTGGCAAAAGAACTGATGTGGGATTTACGTTCATCTGCAATACGCGCGATTTTTTATAAAATCAGTTTTAACAAAATCATAATAAAACCAGTTATGTGAGAAGTAATGCCGCATGATATATTGTATTTGCGGATTCACAAGAATGTTTTATGATACGAGAATCATCGAGTTTTTTTTTCATTGACCGTGAAACATACGCCAGAATATTAATTATTGGATAATAACTTTTTAATACTTAAAGCATTCAACACTGTTACTATCCAATAATTAATATTCTGTCGTATGTTTAATATATTTTCTTTAATCGATACCTTATCTTATGTTTTTGTTATTTCCAAAAAAAATACGCATAAGAATAAGTAGCCCAATAAAGAGCACCTATGGGAATAGCATGCCTAATTAGGAGTGAATCGTCTTCTTTTTCTATGGAGAAATTTTTTTTTCTCTTTGAGACCTTCCAGGATTTCATTTTTCCTTCGTAGGCATATTATTACTTTTGTATTCAGTGCGTTAGACTTTGGAGATGAGATTTTTATTTCTTTTGTCATTTAATACTCCAGAAAGTCTTCCTCCATAATTTTAGAATTATAATTAAAAATTATAATTAATAATTTTTAATATAAGAATATAAAACTTCTTGGCAATTAGGCCTCGGAGGAGAATAACAATATACCCTTTGGTTAATTTTAAGAGAATTTTAATAAAATATTGATTTAAGTTTTAATTACAAAATATATAAAATTTTGAAAATATTGCTTTAATCGAAATGTTAATTAAATATTTAAAGATTACTCCCGTCCCTTTCGTTACGAAAAAATCGAGAATTGTTTAAAGAATCCAAAGCTTAAAAAGAATATACATATTTTGGAAGGGACGTTATTAAACAAATAATGTAATATTTCAGCAACTTTTACATTCAAATAAATTAGTTTGTGACAGGAGTGTAGAATTATTATAATGTTCAATAGAATTCATTGTAAGACGCGTGATCGCAGATTATCTCCCCTCACTCCACCTCCACGCAATTTCTACTCTATGAGAATCGGCTGAGTTTACGACGCGCATTGATAAAGCGATGCACACGGACTTGATTGCATGTGTGACTGAACGTGACTACTTGGAACCCAGATGTGACCCGATTGCACAGGTAGCTCGGATGTTCAGGGATATCCGAGGGACTATTATCAGGTATTTTGATGCCCTTTTGCTTTCGACCCAACCCGATATAGGTAACACTACGAAGAACGCATTGTCCGCTGAGTTGTGGCACGTTTCCCGCGCAAATCTACTATACATATACCATATATGGTTATATCGATGTCTCTAATGAAAAATATCTTACACGTCTCTTGTATGTGCTGTTAGAAACGTGTAATTTATTTGGAAAAATTTTATCTCGATAAGTTTAGGCGTTAAAATAATGTTACAAATTCTGAAATATTTCGGGACCACGTATTTCACAACCGCGACAGCATAATTACTTAACAACTAGTAATAAATATTATATGACTGCATAAAATAGGAATACTAATTTGTTTAAATTGAATCCCACATCAGCTTTATTGGAAAATAATTGTTTAGTCATTTCCTGGAAAATCTTCGAATTAATGATATTGTTAACGAATCCGCCTTTTCTGTAATTAAAATCACACGTAAAAGTTTTTTACATTTGACAAACTTTGAATTAATGCACAAATTAACTTGAAAACTTACGGAGCACAACGATTAGGACAAATAATGAAAGTGACATTTGTACCTACTTGGATGACATTTCCGCTTTGCTTCACAGTTGGACAAGCTAGGTCATCGCACAGCAGCCAGCCAGGTCCCTTGGAGCGACCCGCCCGAATGAGAGACGCGCCAGTTCTCTTGTTTACTTCAGCCTCACAAAGTGACGCTCACGCTTGCGCGGTAAAGCTACGCTAGCAGACACTATTATACTTTCAGTGGCGTATATATTTTCATTTCAATAAGGAGTACCGTCAGATCTCTCATCGACAAAGAGTAGCAAAATGATAAAAGTAATAATAGGAAATCTCTTTTATAGAGCATGTACTCACAGTTTACCGATAGAAACGATCCAATTTAATCGTCCGTTGCGTTTTACAGCCGATTTATCACAAGAATATATATTTAATATAAGAGCTAGAAAAAGTATGAAAAACTTTACTGATATTTAAATAAATGATAGAAATTATTATAAGCTGTATAAAGCTATATTTCAGAAATTTCTATACTAATTCAATAAATAGTTTGATAACAATTTACGAAGCCTGTTATAAAAGTTAATATGTGGAATTAGACAATATATATAATAATTAGTTAAAATATTAATATATAATATTAGCTAAACATGCTTAATATGCTTAATATAATATTTCATATATATAAATAATAGTAAAAAATAAACAAATAATTTATATGATCCCAAGAGGCATTTTGGATAGCATAAGAGCACGAGTCTGTATGCTCGATCACGTGGCCGATTACGCTTTCACGCATGCGCGCCATTGTACGACTTGTGAGATTTATCTCACAATCACTCAACGCTGGACAGATCTTCCGGTCACCCCTTATCTTGTTAGCGATACGGTGACAGTACTAGTCAATGAAACATTATCACTTCGAGCTTGTCAATATTGTAATTTCACGAAATATTTACCACTTTTATGAACAATATATGTACATGTTTAATTTATATTTCATATATTATAACAACATATAAATATATTAATTATATATATTTTTTATCTGCGTTTAACACTCATTTATATTGTTTTAATAATAAAATTTTAAAGTTTTTTGTAAAAAATGTAAAAGTTACACAATAACTTTTTAACCAGAGTTTTAAATTAGCTTAGCATTTTTTTAATGTTTGTTATAACTGTAAAATCTTTCTTAGTGGAATAATATATTTTATTGCACAGTTTTGTAAGGTATTTTATAATAAATTTAATAATTCAATTAAGTGTAATTTTCGCTAGTTGCACACCTTACAGAAATCTAATAAAATAAATTTCTTAATTATTCCATTGGAAAAAATTAAACTATTACTAAAAACATTATAGAAAGATTATTTCTCATTTCATGGATTCTCTTAAAATTTTTATTTATTTTTACTCTTTAAAAATTTTATAACTGTATTATTTAAAAAACAACTTATATTCCCTCTTAAAAATAACTTAACTCTCCCTTAAAATAAAAACATAATAATATAATTTATAATAATAGTATATATACATAATATACTATTTTACTATTTCATGTATTATAATACTATTTATAATTTATTATATCATAAAAATAGATATTTTCGGTATTGCGTCTACAATACCGAATGCAACCTAAAATACTAAACGAGAGAGAAAATATTAGATTATCTTACACTCTTATCTATGAAAATCTGTGGAACTGCTATTACAAAATATCATAAAACATTACAAAATATCATAAAATAAACAATAGGAAAAAGTACAACGTTGTTGCCTTTTATCCTCCCCCCCTCTATTTCGTTGATATTTATAATAACTCAAAGAATTTTACAAAAAATTGTATCAAAGATTGATTTAATAGTTTATCATATCGATTAATTTGTTAGTTTATCATATCGATTAAAGTTGAGTGTTTATAGAAAATAGAAATTATAAGCAGAGTGACGCGTGGTCCCAATTTTGAAGCGGTCGTCGAAGTCGACTTGTAGTCAGCAGGTACCGGATTCGATCGCGACCCTCATTCCATATATATCTCGACTCATAAGATGCTATTTTGAAGAGTTAAAAAGTTTCGATGAAAGAGTACGAGATTATTGTATACCATTTTGGTAACAATGAAAAAATACATTTAATTAAATTAAATTAATAGCGACTTTCTCTCTCTTTATCTTTCTACAATCTATTAACATATAAAAAATTACACCTTTCAAAACTGTGCAATAAAATTATATTATTCAACGAAAAAAAATTTTACAGTCGTAAGAAACATTTAAAAATGCTAAACTAATTTAACTCAGGTTAAAATGTTACTATATAACTTTTAAATTTGTAATTACGAAACGCTTATTACAAAAAGGAGGAGAGAGAAAAAGAAATTTACTCCGGGAATTAATATTGTTTAATTTTAATTATTTACGTATCTTTCTATTGCAGCTTATTGACAGTCGTACCGCATCAAAGCCAAAATTCTTCAAGCGATGCAAGTTGAAAAAATATTTTATTTCGGTGTATGTTAACAGAAAGATTCATATTACTTCTTCCTGCTGTCTTTTTATAGATATCCCATACAGCACGCATGTCTAAAAGACATCTTTAAGATAATTTTAAGCCATCGTTTAGATAGACATGTGTGCTGTATGGGATTTCAATATAACTGCATGGATAAAAAAAAAGTCTTAAATTACAGACTTTAACTGTTCAAAACCATTCATGCGTTGAAATTTCCGTCGGTTGGCCGTAATTTTTTGTTATTTATCATCTTCATATGTGCTTCACAGTCATTAAACGGTTAACTAACCAATGTAATTGTCATAAGTTAAAATGTAATCTTGACAATTCTCAAAATAATCATGTAAATCATTTAAATTTTACAGGTTTGAATGTCCCCCCCCCCTTTCTCTCTCTCTCTCTCTCTCTACTCCTATCCCCCGTAACTTTCCTTTTTCTTCTCTCATTTTTTTTTCTTTCTAAGTATGCGTTCGTTACTTTTTCGAAACATAATCGATTATAATCGGTACAAGACGATAGAGGAGATGCGGTTTATCACAAAAGTTCCACTCAGAACCAAACTTTTACACCGGCCATTTGTCGTCCCGAAGAAAAACAAAAAATATAAATTATGAATGAATTTTTCTTCCATTTTTTTTAATAAGCAAGTTTGTTTTCTACGAATATCAATTAGTAGACATTATCGGATTCATGCTGAACGAATTGTTGATGTTAACTAGTTTTCAATGTTACTACCGAATATCGTTACAGATAAATAAACATAGAAGACATACTTCTGTTTCTCTCTTACGTGTATCTATAGTAAATTCTACCATAGCTTCTGCACGGAGACATTTTATCACGTTTTTATACTTAAGGTCTCGAATACTCACGTAAGCCCCGTTATTAATACCGCGTTAGAAAAAATTCTATAATGACAACACTAATTAGTCATCATGCGATGCTCTGAACACGTATTAAGGCTCCTGTTTCCTCACAGTAACCATATCAAATTATGACGTCAAAGAGACATGGATTCTTTTCTTAGAACATACATCGAAATAATTTTATCGTACATACCTGTATGCAGTGCCGGTTTTAGCAACATTGGCGCCCTGAGCAAGATTATCGTGGCGCCCATTCAAATTCAAGGACTCGAAATTCTTGAGAAAGAAAAGACAAGGTAATAATATCGAATGACGAACTTCATTTTGTGTTTATATTTTAGAGAATCTCTCTCACTCTCAAACTATTATAGATGAAACCAGGCAGCGACACCCCTACAGATTTGGCGCTCTGGGTGATCGCCCAACCGCGCCTCACCCTAACGCCGGCCACTGCCTATGTGTATCCCTTTATTGATAAACTACATATACTATTAATGAAATATATCAAAAGTTTCTTCGTTTATATTATTTTTCAGTAGTAAATTTAATATGTGCCCGATGTTCTCATATTCTAAAATAACTTGTCACATTATTTACATTATTTTCTTCTCTGTGACTGCATTGATAAACAAAGAAATCTGAAATTATTTGATTAACCGTTAAAAATACTTTATGCGTTATTAGAGCGTATACTTAAGTGCAGGGTACTAAAAAGATTTTTCTGTTTTTCTTTTCCCAGATAAGTTTTGTTTGTATATCCCCGTATTTGTCTACACCTCCCCCAGTGAGAAATGATTCGTCGATCGATGTCGAAACGATGTCGATTCGACATCGTTTTAACATCGATCGACGAATCATTTCTCACTGGGCCCTTACAGGAATGTAACAACTGGGAACGAAAAAGGCACTGAACAATTACTAGAGTTCAGTAATTGAATTATTAGAAATTATTGATGTACAGTAATTTTCTAATAATTATTTCGCTTACATTTCTTTTTCCAGAGTCCTTATAGAAATTGAGGCGAAATAATAACTAGAAAATTACTGTACATCAGTAATTTCTAATAGTTCAATTAATGAACTCTAATAATTATTGTTCAGTGCCTTTCTTGTTCCCAGTTGTTACATTTCTGTACAGGAGGTATAGCCATATACGAACGATTTAGTTAAAACTTAGGTTTCTAAAATGCAGAATAAATTGTGTTTTATAACAAAGAGGCCATTTGAAATTTTTATAGAAGTAATTGTGGCGGTGGGGAAAATATAGATGATAACGACGATTACATGCAATTACGTTCGTTACTGCCGCACGCCTATTAGATGACTGCCGGTTAGTCATGGGATTTCCAAGTCAATATTATCTGGTATTATTTGAACATATCGCGATGTCTGCAGTGTAATTAATTATCATTTGTTTGATCGTTTGCTTACTGAAAAAATTACAGCTTGGCCGAATGTTCAATTATGCAAATGTTGTTTAATCGAACGTTGGTCTGTCTGCACAAATGTTGTTACTAGTATCCGCTGTATTGATTAACGGCGCGGTGTATAAATGCGACACTTCGATAGCTGTAACAATCAACAATAGCAACGTAACAGTCACGTTTGGCTCACGAGAGTAGCATTAGAGTTCTGAGAAGCTTTTACTTTATCGTCTTAATTTATCCTGCGGTAAGCCGCGACTTAAGTTTTAAGTGCAGACGCCTGCGTGTGATGTCATGCCTGAATTATTTAATTTCTCAGTACAATGCACACAGAAGACAGACAGCCGTGCATGTTCCAGGAAAGCTTCTTGCATTGTGGACTTTTATCGGCCATTATGATGTCCCTGAATACCGAAGAAGAAAGAAAGAAAAGATTTCACATCTGGTGAACTACATACTTTTGCCGTATTTAACGATGGAAATGAAGTCATGAATGCGTGTCAAATTTCCGAATGTTCAGAAATTCCTTTCAGTGAAATATCTTTAGAATCTACTCCACTGCTTCTTTAAAGTAACGAAAAATGTTTTATGCTACACACGACTTAGGAATCGCTTTTGAAAAAAGAACTTTGAAAGTGTATGTAAATAAAAAAAAATTTTCTGCTGTTATTATCATTTTCGCGCTGTGTGTTTCTAAAGAAATTTTCACAAAGTTAACTTTAGATTTAATCGAGATATTTAACACTTAAAATGAAGAAAAAGAAGAAGAAAGGAAAAGCTACTCCCATAGTTGAGGATCATAAAAAATAATGTATACTTATTGTTGTAATGTTGCTCATTTAGATACATAATTGTTTTTGTTCTGATAGCCTTAACACGGACAGATAATCTATATAATATGTATATCTACCTGGGAAAAAAATGGAAAGAAATCTCATAATACATATTTGTCTCAATCATATAATATCTAATCACATCTCATGAAAAATATAAAAAGGAGAAGTGCCAATGTGAGCCACAAAATTTTATAAAACGCCAAACGAATAGTCCCAACTTACAAAATGACATAGATCTCCTGGGTGATTTATATAATTTAATCATCCAAGACCTAAACAAAGTTTAATTTGACCACAGTTCATTTTATTTATTTTCTTATTTATTTATTTTATTAGTATTACTATTGTTTTTAATTATTTTCTTATTTATTGCTTCATTTCTATTTTAACTTCTTACTTGACCTTACTTACACACCAACTTGACATACCCTTTCTATTCCCGTTCTAATTTTTGACTAAATAGCAACAATTTCTACAACTAATTTTATCATTTTAATTTTACAATTTTAAAGTTTTCACCTATATTTTATTATTTAATTTTAACTTCCTGACATTGGTTCTACTCTTGACATAAATTAAACTCTGTTCGTCGTGTTGTCTCGTACGGATGTGACTCCTAGATGTCCACCTTAATTTTTGGCTTATTGTATCTTTTTTATATCTTTTTAGTACTTTAAATTTTGCGCCTTGTTTGTTATTTGGTAAAGTTGAAACATAACTAATTTCACCCTGTCATGTTTACCACACTTTATTGTAAGGTTTCTCCTTGCTTGATACTGCTGTGTCACAGTCGTTTTAACATCGTTGCTACCCCAGTGAGAAATGATTCATCGATCGATGTCGAAATGTCCTAAAAGAACGTAGATCTCAATAGATAATAACATTGAACAGTCAATAAAAGTGTCAGATCTCTGAATACCTGATAATTTTAGAATTGGATATAATTAGATATTACATGATTGAGAAATATATAATGAGATGTTTCCGTTTTTTCCCGGGTCATTAAGTTCAAAGAATATTATTGCGAGCCTCCATAGTATAACTCGGAGTTGCACCGTACATTTTCATGTTTATGATTAACTCATGCACAGTAAGCGTAAATAGAGACCCGCGGACGTGGTAAGTGCGAAGTTCTTAATTGTGGACGTCATTGCGTTTATTCCTCACCTTGCGGTCACACGGTACGTCTTGCACATTTACTTACAGTCTCCCTTGTACTATTTTCACCTTTCGTTAATCTCCAAGCTTTATTATTACATTTCTATAATGCAATAGAACTTTATGATACACATCTTCCTTCATAAATTCTTGGAAGAACTAGGGTCAAATTTAAATAAAACCCATGTCTCTATCGTGAATACCATTATTAGGTACACGCCTTAGTTCTCTGTCAACGCACATACAGGATGTTCCAGAATAAAAAGTCAATATTCTAGGAGGTGATAGTATCAGTCATTTTAAGCAAAAATATTTATGTGAATATATCCCATTCCCCACTGTTTCCGAGATAGAGCTACTCGAATGTCTTGTGCACTTCTTTTCTGTACACTTCACCCTACAACCTCATAAACATCCGCGGGAATTTACTCTTATACGTCTGTCGACTATTGTGCTGATAACATTATAGAAATGTTCAAAATGCCTCGCATATTCACAAAAGTTGAATATGCAGATATGCTGTATGTTCACGGTTTCTGTAATGGTAGCTACTGCTGCTGTTGAAGAATACCGTCGACGCTTTCCTACACGCAGAATTCCGAATTGTAAAGTGTTTTCCAAGGTTTTCAATACATTGCGCGAAAGTGGGATGCTTCCCTGTGTTCATGTTTCATGTAAACGAGGATGTCAACAAAATTTGCTCTATCTCGGAAACAATGGCGAATGGGACATATATTCAGATAAACATTTTCGCTTAAAATGACCGATACTATCACCTCCCAGAATATTGAACTTTCTTCCTGGAACACCCTGTACGTACGAGTTCATTCAAGTCTAACAGGGGACTAAAACATATATCTACAACGTAATATCGTGCCGACAAGAGATGACGGCGTCGTGGTGATAAACGCGTACGTGCTTCATTCTGTTCTTCAGTATGCTTGTGTCGATCGTAGGCGACGGATGCGCATTGTCGTGCACGCGTTTCTCTGAACTCCGCGAGTGCTCCGGAAATATTAATAACGATAACGGACATCGAAACATATTGTCGGACGACGATCTTATCTCACGAGAAATGAATTATTTATTATTAATTCTGAAAAGTGAATTCTAACGCGTTCTACGTTACTCATCAAACTCTACAAAAACTAAAGTTCGTAAAGTGCGTGTTTGAAATAAGAAGTATTGAATTAGTGGGCCGAAGTGTAATTTAAATTGATAAAATAATATGTTAATTATAATGTGTTAATTATAATAATGTGTTAATTATAATATAATAAAAGTTTCAGTAGTTGTGTTAGAAAGTCAGATCGTGACGCGAGGATTACCGAAATTAAAATGAAGTATGTGTCTTTCAAAATATTAATAAAATATCGATAAATAACACTTAATGTACTCATCGATGAGATTTTAAAGCTTTAAAACGACACGGAATTTATTAAAAAATTATAATTAATTAACAAATGTATGTGAATTAACGAAATCTTTACTATATCATTGAAATTGCAATAGCTAAATGAGAAAGTTACGAACTTTAAGTAAAAATTCATTCAACAGGGATAAATTTAACATATTGGTCGTAAACTGATTGTAAAATAAATTTTTACTTCTCTCATGTCACACTCATGCCCATTTATACGGATACGAAATCAATTTTAACCTTGGTTTGACTTACTTTTCATCTTTCTATAATTCTTAAAACTAGAGAAAGATAAAAGGTAAGTAGAACCAAAACTAATGTTGCAAAGTTTTATCCGCATTGGTAGAAATGGACATTATTCAACAAAATTAATGTATCATGCAGATATAAAGTTTTAACTGATAAAAAGCAATCCGATTGAATTAGATTCTGTCAGGTGGAAGTAAAAATTACTATCTTATCTCTATTTGATCTCAAATATATCAAAATCTCAATCAAACGTAAGTTTCATCGTCAACATTTATCGAATTATCTCTGTAGAAAGTGATACATCCAAGAGCTTTTTTTTCAACTAAATAGAGGTTTCCTCTTGACTGTTCTATTTTGATTTTGAAATTAAACACAATCTGCTCCATGTATCCCTTGTCTTACTGCGAGAGTGCGGAAAAATGACGGGGCTTGGAGACAAAAGAGAGAGAAAGAGAAAGAGTGAGGATAGTAGAGGTCCTCTTGTAGTTCTCTGCCTTTAGGGGGGAAAAAAACTCGCCGGACAGGTTTTAAAGCGGGACAGGACCGGTGTGGGATACTTAACGTTTCCGTACATCGTAAATCTTCAAAAATGTACAATTAGTTGAACCGAGTCTATTCCACGAATGCGGAAAGCTTCTCACGGATTTCTTTCGGTGTTCGACATTTTTTCTCACGGGTATGCCGATCGATTCGCACAGAATCCACCCCTTTTTCACGTCGTGTTCCGTGCATAAGCGCCCTCGAGCACCAAAGAAAAGATAAAAGGCATATCTGCAGTCCCTATTATCTTCTATCTGAGTCTAATTGGCTGAAATACGTTTAGCATCCTCGATGCGATGATCAAAGTGTTTATCGGTGCAAACGCGACATATCACATCAATAACAAGAAAAGATCATCTCGTCGATTGACCACAATAAAACTCTGATTATTAGAATGTTGTTTAGTCAAACTAGGCGCATACGCTGTCTTCGAAACTGTAGACACGCGATACTTTTTAAGACGCATATATAAATGAAGATAAATGTGAACCAGACAAGCGTATCTGAATTTAAATACATAAACGTAAGATGTAGTCTTAAATTGGTATAGTCCTCAATAAAAGAAAACAAATTCTCTATAGAGTAGAAGCGTTGATGAACTAGAGAGCAAGAGAATTCACGACGACACGTATCTCTTATACGAGGAGGATGGTTTCCTGAACGTATCGTAAAATCGCTGCGAGATGAATTGCACTCTCCACACGTCGTTCGGTCAAGTCAGGAAGATGCATACGAATATATAAATATCGTATTCGCGTCGAACTTATACGAAGCGCAGTAATTCTCCAGCCGAGAATCGTTCGATTTTTGCGATGACGTCCATGCTGTCCGGGGAAGAGAGCAACGCGGCGAAGATGAAACAAAAATTGATGGGGGACGCGCCCGCGAAGGAGGAGACGAGGTCTTTCCTCAACTTCTCGCGGGAGAATCTGAGCATCTCGCAATCCGACCTCGAGCAAGGGTTCAACCGATCGCGACTCGTACGACCGAGCAAGACCACGATCCTGAGCGTGGCCGCCCTTATGGCCCTTATTCTCTGCCTCAGCCTTCAGAGCTGGAAGCTGCTGTCGAACACGCATGAAATCGAGCAACTGAGAAGAGACGTCGATATCCTGAAACATCGGTTTCTGGAGCAGGACCTTATGGACGAGTTGAAAGCCTTCGAGGAACAAGTAGGTCCCTAATAATTGATCTTTTAAACTGATTGTGAAGTAGGGAGGCATTTAGAGAATAATTTCCGTTCGAGACAACATTTGCTGGCTGATCTTGAAGAAACTTTAAGCATACGAACAAAGGGGAAAGCGTATAACAGGTTTACTGATGGTCATTTTTTTCTTAACTGTAAAATTGTAAAACAGAAAGGAGTGGAAATCGAGGCTGTGGTCCCAGTGAAAACACATTGAGATTTAATTAGTAGAGGAAAGTCCCCTATTATGAAACAGATTCCTGATATGAGACAGCGGGGTTTCTACTAAATTAATAGGCATCGTCTGTTGATTCCATGAATTTATTGCCCTTGGAGTGAGATCTGTTCAGTGGAAAAATTCATTGTTAGATTGTGTAATGGCCGCGAAAAAAGATTATGATTGAGTTTGGATATTGAAAACCTGCTATCTCATATTAGAAGTCTATCTCATAATAGGGGACTTGCCTCTACTGGAATTAAACTCTCAATCTATAATCATTTTGTATATCTAATTTACGACTGTCATTAGGATAATCTTATCTGTGATTGAAATCGTGATTAGTATCTTTTCAATATAAAAAGAAATCTGTTGAGTTTCCCAATTATTTTCTTTGTAATTACTTTGTAATAACTTAATCCAAGTAGCACAATATATTGGCGCAATATTGGGAAATAATATAAAGCTATTTAGCCTATTTAGCAATATTGGTTTAAAATTGTATCAATATTAGACCAATATTCTTATTACATTGCTAAATATTGGCCAATGCACTTCCAATATAAATTTAATATTTTATAATTATTATTGTGCAATATTTACATTTATTTCAAGGCCAATATTGGCTTTATGTTGGACAATATCGGTCAATGCACTGTGCTACTAAAAAATATTCGATTCTACTTTTCGCAACAGATGATAAAAGTCTAGTTGCTTTATCAGACGCTTTGACGTATACAAATACGTAGTTAAGCTGTTAAAGATATAGGAAAATTTGCGGCTAAATTTGCTTCAGCGAATAACAGAATTTCTATCTTTACTGGAATTCCCCATTACACAAAGCATTGTTCGTGCTGCTTTTAGACGCAGCAATTACTTTAATAGTCGTCAAAAAGGAAATCATACCACAATTGCCTATTACTGATGCATTTCCTCGTATCGTTCGTCACTAATGGACAATACCGATTTAACTACGCGATCATAATTGCATCGCTTGACGGAAGATTTTTGTTATACACACACCGCACCGCGCGTATATCGTGAAACACTTTATGTACGAATGCACAACGCGTTGCAGCTGTACGCCGAAGAGTCTACCGAGGATAATGATCCAGGCGAGACGGACATTGATAACGCCGATTACGACTCCAATTATGATGACGATGGTTCCGCATCGCACGACTACGCCGGCGACTACCACACTCCGTTGACTTACGGCGCCAGGTCGTCGGATTTCCACGGCATCACGTCCACGTCGATACCGGTACCCACGTCCTCGGATCCCGGCACCAACGAGGACATGGTCGAGCTGCTGGCAACCTTGCGCAAGGTCGAAGCGAAGCACGAGCAGGACTTCGAGAGGAACCTACGAGAGAATCACAAGTGAGACGTTGGCAGTATATAATAGTATTTTTTAATCAAACAGATTAATAAAGCGAAGAACTAGAAGTGCATATCTGTCTGATAATTTTCCGATCTAAGAATTCCTGCCAATGTTAACCGCGTTGAATTGCGTTTGTTGTTTGTAGAAGTATCGAGCGCGATCGTCTCAAGGGAGGTCACAAGAGGCAATCGAGTCACGAGGAGAAGATGAGCGACGCGAACAGCACCAGACACAAATCCGATGTCGTCAGGGAGGTTGCGAGCTCGGGACACGCCAAAGAGAGCGTCAAATCGAAGCGATCCGTGAATGATGGCTTGACTGACGACCCGGTGAGAGATACAACGAGCGGCAAGCGATATAATACGGGAAGGGTCGTTGTCTCTAGAGCGAATTCTTATGCAAGTGTCGAGAGCGACGTGAATGACAATCCTGAAACGGATTTACAGTGAGTATTTGCATGAGCAGATAAAACAACCAAATGCTGGCTGCGTGAGGAAATTTTACACACACGGAATAGAATTTGACAAATTCCTCAGCGAGATTCTTTCGACCTTAATAAGCTGACTGACTTTAATAAGCTGAATTCTTAGAAGTGTATGACAATCGCGTCAAGATTAAATTAGACCAATTGAACCTTGAAGAAATAAAGAGAGATGTGAAACTGGAGATTTTCGGACAAAGGTCGTTCAACATTTCTTATGGAAAATACCGAGAATCTTTTGGTCAGCATCACGTAAACTATAAAATCGCGAAGTTACAGTCAATTTCGTCCAAGGCTAATTATACGGGGTACTTAATTTCTGTAATAATTTCTTCCATGTTAAATCGATTGTTTTCTAAAATAGACATCCACCGAAAAAGTATCACGCTCACGCATTGGAGACTATTCCCTTGGCGCGCCGTCACCAATTATACGAGGAGACCACTCAGCCTCCTAGCAGATACGAGAGCGAAAGCACGGAAATTGTAGACGACAGAAGGATCGGCTGGCGAAGCCGCGACCTTTCGGAAAACAGGACTGTGGTTCGCCGGCCCGTTCAGGTGGGTAGTAGTTGCCAGGGAGTTGCACGATAGATAAGACACAAGTATCAAATTTTTGCACGGTGGCCGAGTGAACAACACAGAGCGTTGTGATTGAATTAGAATGACGAAAAGGCTGCGAGGAAATTTCCACGGAGATTGACTAGAAGGCATTTGCGTGCACCACGGCAGGTTTATGCGATCCACTACGGGGCGGACAGCACCCTCTTCTCGACGCAGGACGAGCACACCGGTAACGGCAGGGCGCGCCACTACAACGGAGTCTTCAGGGCATGGCGGCCGAGCGACTGGGTCGCTGATCTCGGCATGAGTAGACACTTTACTCTCAGCGACGGCAAGGTCACCGTGCACGAACCGGGGTTGTATCAGGTGTACGCGCAGATCCACTATCTGGACGAGCACGACGAGAACGGCTTCCACATGCTGGTGAACGGCAAGCCTATACTGCAATGCATGGTAAGGGTACAAATGGAACGCTGAGGAAGGCATTTGTTAGCACGGTAAAAATTGGAATACATGTCATCTCACAAGTAATGCGATTTTTTAGAGATATTTTTGAAACAAAATAACAAATTGGACATTTGGATTTTAATCCAAAATACATTTTCCATTATTACTTACAACTTCTGTCCATCTTAATCTTATATTCCCAATTCTCTGGCAATACCAATTTTTTGGTTTTTAATGAAAGAATAAATCAACTTCTTTTTTTGTAGTACATTATTTATGAGATGACCTAATGCTGTGCACTTAACAAGATGTCATTGAACGATGAAATGCATTCAATCAATTGAAATGTAAAAAATTGTACGGAAATAACAAAGATAATTTTCAGATATACAGCCCGGGCATGGGACACAAGAGCCGCTCGTGTTACTCATCGCAAGTGACCCTTCTTCAGGCAGGCGATCATCTGGTCCTGAAAGACATTGGATCGGCGAGATATACTCTTTTCCAGCATGATAAAAGTTTCTTCGGCTTAGTGAAAGTCGGTGAATTCAGACAGCAGCAGAAACATCCACCGACACACCAGTAATTGTAAACGCTGTGCAATTATCAGCGCTAAAAAGTGATATGCAATTTGTAGTCATTGATTTCCTCCCCGGTGAAAAATGCTCGTTGATTGATGTCAAAATGATGCCAAATTGGTACGAATACATTGGTTCATTTTGCCAGTAATGCGATTTTTTAAAGATATTTACCGAATTGACGTCGAAATCGTCAAATCGACATCAATCGTCAATCAACAAATTATTTCTCGCTGGGCTATCCTTAAAAGTTATCTGTAAATTCGTATTATTTGTACGTGTAATGTAATATACTTTCCACTTGCAGGTTATATTATTTCTTGCAATTAGTAATTCGGTTTCACAGGCCACACGATATTTACCGTAGAATTTTTATATTTTACCATTTTGTTAATTGTACTTCGTACCCTACATAATTTTTATTTACACAGAATTGCTACGAATATTCGTTCATAAAGAATTATATACGTGTAAACACTGTAAACAGTTGCTCTATATACGTATAACATATTTATATATAAGAAAAATAAAGTATATTCTCTTAGTTTATACATATGTACGTATAAAGTGAAACTTTTGTATATTATACCTATCAGTTCCAAGATCTTCCTTCCCACTTTCTTATTAAAATATTCACTGATACGATTATAATATTTATTAAAATTAAAATATTGTGATAAAACAAACTACTTTTAAATAGCGCAATAGCATATTTTGTTATAAAATATATATTTGTAGATTTATTGAAATTAAAATGTCATTTTATTAAGGTATTACTATAATAGTAAACCAATTTTCAATAGCAACACGTTTCATTATAAGTTAATTTTTAACGCAATATAACTTTGAGTCAGGACTTCCAATCGGGATCAAGGCTCCCGGTATATTCATCAAATCAACGATGAAATTCGGTTTCATAAGTTTGATTGGATAGGTTGTCGATCGACGATCTCTTAGAGATATTTTTTCATTTGAGTCTTCGATCTGCAAGACGCATTGGATACCCAGCGATAAATGACTCATCGATCGATGTCGAAACGATGTCGATTCGACGAATCATTTCTCAGCGAGTACTTTATTAAAAGTACATTATTAAAAGGATGTAATTTGAACGCAAATTCTATTACTTGAGGTATCGCTATCTCAATCCACGAGATACCGTGCTCCCCGCGTACGAGAGCTGCTGGAAGGCATATCCTGTCGGCTATCGCTTTAAAGAGCAAGGCTCGCTCGAGATAAGAGCCTACGCGCAATTGTCCGAGCGGAATCACGCTCGTTTCCAAGCATTCTTTGATCCGCTTCAAATGAGCTTCAAGCTGCCGGTCGATGCATTCAGTCTTCGTCGAATCGACGCCGGACATTTGACGCGCCACGAATCGAGCTAACATCTTTGCGCGCAAGGAAATATATTGGATACTCGTCGAGCAAACATCTGTATCTCTCTCTTTTGGCCTGTGTATCATGTATAAATTTGCTTGTATACATGCTAAATAAAATATTTAAGTATTATAATTTAAAGTGAGTTTTTGGAATTTTTCTACTAACACGTCTTTTGATTCCGTTGCTGAAAGTATATGTCTGAAGTGTTCCACGTATTTGACAAAGTGTGGATCGCACTGCAACTGACCGAATTTTGATTCGAACCAAGCATTTACATCTCCTGCAAGGACATCTTTTTTGAAGTGACTCCTTTTTTGCAGCCCTTCTACTTTATTCGTATAAAACTTAAAATTTTACTACCTTCGAAAATTGCTTCGTTTGGTAAAGCGCTTGACTTTGGTAATCGCACACAGTTTATCACGTAAATCGGCTTTAAGGGACAAAACTTAAAGCGAAAGACATCATCCAATACGGGAAATCTAGACCAGATAGTTTTGGAAACATAATATAAATGGTAGTGAAATAATTTCAATTTAATTAGGTTGATCATATCACCATTTTTATTATTGCAGTAGTAAAAAATGTACGTACGGGCATACGTTGGTGCTTGAGACGTAAAATCCATCCTGAGTAAGATCGTGTAGAGACAAACGTCCTGTAAGGGCGAATTTGACCGGTAAATGCGATTTAAGAAGAGTCTCAATGCAAGTGTCCCATAAAGGAATCTCTCGTGAAAATGAACGATTATTCAACATGCTGCAGAATATGATTACATGATCACTACGAGAACTCAATATAGTATTATAATTCCAATCGATATACTTCGGAGTTAACATTATTTCTCATGAAAGAAAGATCTTTCCCTTCTAAATATCATAAAATTGCGAAGAGAAGGCGTCGAACTTACTGTGAGAGATACTTATGTTCTACGAAGGCCTTCGCTACAGTTAAATCTGCAGAAATTGCTTGTACGGTCTGTAGCGCAGCGTTTCTTACTGATGCTGAATTCGCGTCAGTAATGAGAGCGAACATTCTTTGGGGTCCATTTGCTTGGAGAAAATAATATCTTCCGCTCTGTTCTAAGCATAGTGCCGAAAGTAGATTGCAGCAAGCAATTTTTAATTCGTCGATAAACGGATAAGTTGACTAAAAGATCAATACTTTTTAATACTGTGTTGATTTTAAAATTCAACATTCTTCTATAAACACCTTGAATGCTATGATCGATGCTGTGACAATGACATTCGTGTAATTGCAACTAATTGGATTTAAAAGTTATATAATGTACATATATGTACGTGTTACATATTTACCTTAAAATTCACGTTTCTTATATCAGGTATAATATCCAATATTTTTTTCGAAATTGTAAAAAATACAAAAAACTTTTACAGAGTTCTGAAACTTTATAATAATTTTTTTCACCAGATTTGTCCAAAATATAATCCTTTATAGTTAGGGTTTTAAAGAGTATAGGTAAGCCAAAATCAGCGCGGCATTCAATGTGTTGAGTTAAAAAGTACCATGAGAAAATGTGATAATAATATGATAAACAATATTTATTTTTTACCTCTAAAAGAATGCAAATTGTATCAATAGTGTCACAATTAATCACGACATCTCTGAGACTTAAATGACGTGCTATGGCAAGCAGAGCTTCAAGAGCAACGATACAAATTTCTACAGGAACTTGTCCTACCGAGGATTTTAACAATTGCCACAGATAGTCCTTAAAGAACAAAGTCATTATTATTTATACATTTATTAAATGTAACGCACGTGTTACCTAAGTAATCAAAACTTTACGATATTTTCTAGACATTTTATATAAAATATCTCCATTCTACACTCTATTTAGAAGTTACTCTAAATAAATATTTAAAGAACACGATTTTGCGAAATAGAATTACTGGCCCATGAATGCTTGAAAAGGCACTGCAATTTCTAATATCGCTCATCAGTAATCGTTTGATCGCGAAAGTCGCGGCATGTCTTGCGGACCACTGCAAGTTCTCTTGTTTCAAAAAGCCTGAAACCATTATTTTCTTTAACTTCCTTCTTTGCGTGCAAAGATCTTTATCTGCATTATTTATTTATTAATGTAACCTAAAATAGTTTTAACACACTCTGCGCTCGCGAGTTCTCTTGCAGCAGGAATAAAAAGTGCCATTTCCCCAATTCCGTAACAAGTAACTTTAACAATGTCAGAGTGCACTGATTCTTGTAAAGCGTCTATCAAATACTTGACAATCTTGTAGAAATGTAATTCCTATTAAGATAATAATTACAAATTGAGCGATTTTAAATTTAGCACAATATAGTTCAATGTAATAACTTATTATTCCTAGTAGCACGGTACATTGGCTAAACATTGGTTAAATATTGGTCCAATGTTGATTATAATAGAAATGAATTGGTCAATATTGTCCAATGTAAAGCCAATATTGGTCATGAAATAAATGTAAATATTGCACGATAATAATTATATAATATTAGACTTATATTGGAAGTGCATTGGCTAACATTTAACAATGTAATAAGAATATTAGTCTAATATTGATACAATATTAGACCGATATTGCTAAATAGGCATATTGGCTAAATAAGAGAAGGCGTCCATCTTACAATATTAAACCAATGTTGGGAATACTGGATTGACATTATTTTCCAATATTGTGCCAATATGTTATACCACTAGCAATAATAATTTTAAGAACAATGCATTGCCTTTCGTACACATATTTTACATTACACACAAAATTACTTTTCTTCCTTTGGAGGTGTTTGCAATATGTACAACGATTTCAAGCGCTTTTGCTGAAACCGTCGAATTTTCTGCGTGCTCTATGTAATGTAATATTTGCGGAATGCTTCCGCTGTCAATAAATTCATCCACGACAGCTGAATTCTCAGCAGCAAGAGATAATATTTCTAGAGCTTTAATGTGTAAATTATTCCACTCGTCATTCTGAATCATAATTAAGCTAAATAAACTTAAAATAACTTATCAACAAAGAATATAATTCTTCCGTATAAAATGTATGTTACTTTTAAAAAATCTAATAGCGTTCTAACTCCGTTTGCTTCGTGAAATGAAGATTGTATATTCTCATCTTTGTTTCTGCCGATCACATCGGCGATTATGTCTAGCGCGAGATGTTGAATTTCTGGATAGGGTGACTCGAAGTGTCGATACAACAAAGGAAAACTAAATTTCTAAAGACAATGGAAATTGTGTGAATTTAGGCGTCTCAAACTTTTCACGCGGCATCACACATACCTCGCTTCTCGAAATTTCAAGTGCAGCTCTGGGATCCTGCATTAAATTATACAGAATCTCGAGATTATACCTCTTTACGTCCGGGTCCAACGATTGTGATCCTTCTAGAAGAAAGTTCACGTTCGAACAATAGTTTGCCAGAAGAGCATTCCCGTACGGATCTTCGGATAACTTCGCGAGTATCGCAGAAAGATATTCTTGCATGAAGATATCTTTCTCGCTCATTACCAGCTTTGCAAAATATTCTATACGATCGGATTCGATCAGATAACTCGTTGTGTCTGGCACTGTTATCATTTCTGCCAATAATTTTCCAGCAAATCTATATAACAAGCATATGTATAAACTAAGCATATGCATAAATTTATAAAAAAAAACCAACAGAAATTAAAACTATCACATTATAATTGATTAAAGTTAGGTAACCTCAACCCTTTCTAAAGTGATATTTTTAATTTATCTTTTTTTATATATGTATAAAGTCGACTGTCCCTGGTTTTGTCTTTATGCATACTTTAATCGTGTGGAAGAATCTTGCAATTTTATATAGCCAATTTCAAATTTAATTAGAATTGAAACTTTTAAATACCAATATCTTTTTTATTAGACTTCTGAACTGAGTGTTTTAAGTATGAAAATGTGTTGCTATGCGGTCTGCACCTTATCTTGGTATTATTTTGTGCATAAAAGCTAATAAAAGATTTATAAGTACGAAAACTATATTTGACTGTGTCGGTAAAAGAGTTGGCTGAAGGATCCTCTTAAGCTTTTATAATTTTACATTAGTATTAATTTCCTACACAAACCTTCGAATAAATATATCGTCCTGCTCGATAATAGGAAGAACATTATTTACAACACCGAGATGAAGAAGTATCTTCGCATTGTCTTTCGATTTACCAGCGTACTTCGACAGAGCCTCTACAGCTGCTAATAAAGTAGACTTCTCTTCAGATTGTAACAGCAATACCGCCGTTTCCGCATCCTTGACTTCAGAAATAGCTGAACGGAATGGATTGTATTTAAACAGCTGCGTTTCTCTTTGACTTTGTTCACCGTTCTTCTCCTTGCGCCAAATGTTAAAAAATTTTGTGATTAATACGATCTTTTTTATGCCGCAGCTTTTGTTTGTATAATAAAATGATTACACAATTACATTATTTCGCTCTTTGAATCCGAAACGATAAAAAAATTAATCAGATAAAATTAATCTTACCTTCGAGTCGCGCGGCTGCATATTATGGCATTTAATTATGATTATACAATTCTGCTGACAGTCACTAATTAAACTCTATCCAATGTAATAAAATATTTATGCAATTTTCGTTTTCTTGCCGTCAAAAGCGATTCTCGAAATACCTACGTCTGTACGTGAATTTCGGCAGAGAGAAACCTGCGAGCGGACACGCTGGCATTTTACTTGATATTGTTTCGGGAGACTGTTTTGCGCGCCCTTACGCCCATTTTTACTTTTAAAACTATTCCGCTACACCAATTTTCAAGCACTGCCGATAAAGTCTCCACTTGGTGCGTGTCCGTGCTGTACGCCCATTTTTCAAGCGGGTAATGGAGTTCTCAATTTTGGTTGTGTTCCGTGCTGCATGCATGAAATGTTGGTAACATGAAAGAGTTATACCAGAGAGAAACCTGAGAGCGGCCACTCCGGCGTTTTACTTGTTACCATTTCGCTAAGCAGTTTCCAGCGCTTTACGCCCACTTTTATTTTTGAAACTACTCCGCTACGCCCATTTTCAAGCACTGTCGATAAAGTCTCCAGGTAATACTGAAGAAGAGTCTCTCATTCTCCGTTTTTCATGAAAATTCATAGGATCGTATATTTTTTCCTGTAAAACACGAATTTGCAAGTTAAAATTGTCGCTCGGCACTACTAATGCCCATTCTACACCTAGGGATGATCCTACTTGTGGCTCATCCGATACCCCTTCTATACCTAAAGCTAATCCTACTTGCAGCTTATCCGAGGGAGTAGTATAAAGTGTAAAAGGTTTACACTTTGGTTGGTTTCCAATCGTACCAAAGTACAACTACAGTGTACCCTTTTACACTTTATACTACTCCCTCGGATAAGCTGCAAGTGGGATTAGCTTTAGATATAGAAGGGGTATCGGATGTGGTAAAAGTAGGATCATCCCTAGGTGTAGAATGGGCATAAGAGAGTTATAAATTGTTAAAATCTGACAGTTGTGAGGTTAGGATACCTGTCGTACCGACACCAACAAACACTATACGCGAACAGCGTATAAGGACCGGCCAAAAGAGAGCGTCAGGAGGAGACGATACCATGCAAGAATCTGAAAAAAAAACACACGAAGAACAAATCAGTCGTACATAAATTATATATCGTACAAAATTAATCACTAATCAACAGGTTTATAAAATTAAAGTTATATTTCTTCAGTTTTTTAGTTTTGACCTTGAAAATGACCTTATCGCAAATTTTTCTTGTCATATACGTAATCAGCGTTCAAAAATACGAAAAAATAGTGTCGCTTCAAAAAGATCGGAGGGTTCACCTATTCGGATTTAACTACTGTAACCAGTAATTATCCGATAAAACCAGTACCACTGTATAAATGTGTAACAAAAATCGTACTGTAAATGCGCAAACGAAAATCTAGCGCATAAAAGATTATTTTAGACCAACTTAAAATTTCATACAATAGAAAAGTTAATCTAAAAAGGCCCTCCGCCGACCCCGCCAAATTCTTCTCGGCGGTCCTCTTTTGTTTGCGATAAAATTAAGCTTTTACACTTTTCTAACTTGATGACGTAAAAAGATCGCAAGTCCCGAAAATTAAAAATATTGCAGTTCGGACACG